TGATTCTACTTACTAAATACTCAAAAATTCGGAAGAATCGAATCAAACTTGATCGATCAGACCATATTCAACCTTAAATTTATGGACAAATCATAAATTACATCAATAAGGAAGGATTAGCAATATACAATGATATGAAACTCAAATCAAAACTTAAAAGCAAAATAGCTCAAATCAAAACTTACGCCCGAGTGGCAGGGTAATGCTAAACGAGCATCAAGTTCCCTGCTTTGAGCGGTCAAGTGGAAATTAGGCGGGTAGTGAGTGAGAATGCATCGTAAATTTTTGCCTGCTCCATATCTTGACCTCTTCAACAATTGCGGAATTAATCAATTTCTGTCGATTCTTGATGATGCCCTTCCATTTTTATGTGTTTAATTCCAACATTATACTAGGTTAATTTTTCTCATGTATTAGATGAAGATAAAACCCTTTATTATTTATTTTTAATTCGAGACACGTGGTTTAGTTAAAGTTTTGCAATTCTTAATTAATCTTGCATGCTTAATTTATTATTTGATTGCTTGATCACCAATTAAATATATCATTGCTTGTTGTAGTGTTGGGAAGCTCACAATAGATTTAGAACACTGCATGATTAACACATGTGCAATAAATTTTAGGAATATTATTTATCGCGTGTGCAATCTTTAAGATAATTGTGAAATTAAATGCGCTCTATTCATTCAAATTCGGACTAGGAATATATTCGGGTCGTGAATATGATAGATTTAATTTGTATTGAAAAAGAAAATTAATTAAAATAGAATTATCGATTGTCAAGAACGCAAGAATGAAACTAGCTATGTAGTTGAGAATTGGAATAGATAATAATAGGTGGATTCGTAATCCAATACACTCTTCCCTTATTAAATTTGCATTTTACTCGCTTTCGTAGATTAAGTTAGATTAGTTAAAAATTACAAAACACTTTTATTTTATTTACTTTGGATCTAATTAGGGATTAGTACACTCCATTAAATTTTATTTCTCATAGGACGATACCCTCAACTCACTAAATCTATTACTTATCAACGATCTCGTACGCTTGCAGGTATCACAGGAACAATGATTGCATAAGATCATGTCTTTAAAAGACATATATGAAGTGGGCAAGAACACGACAAAATCAAACACTAATCCTCTTCATTATATTTACTTTCAAGGTTTCCAAATCAACAATAATTTTCTTCGAAATAGCTAGGCGATCTTCAAGTTATGTGTCTTCTGTCATATAATGAGAATGAAGACCCTACTTCAAATGTAATTTGCTAGTTAGACCCTTTGTCATACATAATTTCTCCAATTTCAACCATAATGTAACAGTGGTTTTCTCCTTCTAAATATTTTGAAAAATATTATTCGAAGGATGAAAATAAATCTGTGATAGGGTTCAATCCTTACTTTTTTCCTACGACATCCAAGTTGTGAGCATCTTGTCAAATTCGATCAAAGCATCATCCAAATCCATCTTAGCGAGCACTACTCAAATCTTTACTTGCTACAATGAAAATCTTGTGTTGCGATCCAAAAGTGAAATATCATACTTCATGGTTGCCATCACAAAAGATCAAATTGACCTCTTGACTTAATCGAACCTCGCTCTAATACCAGTTTGTTGTGATATCAAGGTGAATATATATGTCACAATATAAAGTAAATATCACAAAATGCACATGAACAAAAGATAATTGGTAAAAGAAAGGAGAATTCATTAAAATATGGAGAAAAGAATACAAAGATATCGTTTTTGCAATATTGTCTAACCTATCAAACTGGTATTAGATGTCGTTGTATTTAATCCATTTTAATATATGTAGCCCAGTAAACCCTATATCAAATGGCAAAAAGAAATATTAAATTCAAAGTTCAAGTACGGAATAAAGTTGAGAAAACCACCTAAACTCTCTAATCTAATCGTGCAAATTTTCGTGATGAACATGGACTTCGAAGGCAATGGACATAAGCATCACACCTCAGCAAAATGGTGTACTGGAAGAAGGATTGGACTATAGTTTACATGGTGAGAAGCATGCAGGCAAATGGGGAAATACCAAAGAGTTAGGGGCCTTAAGCATTAATTAGAGATTTCTTTTTAGCATTTTATATTTTGAATTTTAAATTTGAGATTGAGCCAATTTTGATGGATCATATATGTTGAACTTGATTCATGACTGGTGATGTAGTCAACAAATCCCAATTATACTCACACCTACTCGTGCAGCTCCTACACATTTAGACAAATCATTAAAAGAATGTAGCCTTCTTCGATGGTGAGGGAGGTGGTCGCGAGCACTATAAATATCAAGTCAATCAACTTGTAGATATATATTTAGAGCATGTTTGGTACGGATTAAAATCTGATTTTAATTTAAGTCAAAATTAAACAATCAATATTAACTACATCTTTCATGAGTCCCACAACTTTTCAACCACAAATTTCAAAAACTTCTATTTCAATCTACTAAAAAATATAATTTTAATCCCCACCAAACATCCTTTTAGATATAAAATGGACGGAAGACATAAGCTACAAAAATGTACAGGGCACCGAGGTATAGAAAGAACAAGAGTTAAGCAATAACACTATTGAGAGCAGTGGCAGAGGTAGTTGGGGGGGGGGGCAGTGCTAGGCTTCCCCCAGCCCATATAAGTATTTAAGATAAAATTGAAGAATTTTGGCCCAAATTAGCGTTAACCCAGCTCTCCCATATAAATATCTAAGATGAAATTGTAGAATTTTGACCCAAATATTAGTATTAGCCCAACTCTAGTTTAAATCTCAACCCAAATCCAATGTCAATTATTCAAATTGTATTAAAAACACTACAATTATTAATTACTCTTTTCATGACGTTCATGAAATATGAATATTTTATTGTCAAACTAGATATTTTATTTAATGCATGTTTGACTAAAATTTACTTATAATTATTAAGTAAATTTTATTGTAGATAATTTGTATTGATTAGATCTAAAAGAAAAATTACTTATTTTAATAGTTTGAGATACTAAGTATTTTTCTAAATTTAAAAGTAATTGATTTTTTTTAGTAATCCATATGTTTTCATTTATTACTAATTCATATTTATAAAAAAAAAAAGTTACTTATTTTGACCATAAAATAGATAATCAAAATAAATAACTTAATATAGATTTGATATTTACAATAAAAAGAATGATTGTTAAAACTTATTTATTTATAAAGTAATCTGTATTGACAATAAAAAGAATATTTATTAAAACTTTCAGTTGTTTGTAAAGACTGATCGTCAAAATTATTAAAAGAGTACTCATTAAGTAATTTTTTAAAATTTTCACTGGTGGATATGTATTTCTGTTTATTTCAATCATAATTCGGTTAGCTTTATTTTTCAAGTAAACGTTGATTTTCTATTTGGTAAAAAAATACAAAGATTTAGTTGAATATCTTAATGTAAGACATCTAAACTTTTTTTTTTTCATCAAGTGTCGTATACTTTTTATAGTGAATGTCACAAAAATAGCCTCCGAAACTCAACTTCTTGTGGTGTAAATTCATTCACACTTTTTTATGTTTTAGCCAATCCTAACCTAATTTTCTGGCTCCACCCCTGATTGAGAGTGTAAATTGTATCACCTTCAAATTACATCAAATGAAAGCTTTTATAGTAAAAAGAGGTGGAGTGATTACCATTGGATTAAAAGAAACATGGCCTCATCTTAGCAACCCCTGTGTCTTCTCCTAGTTGTTATTCCATCAGTCCTAGGTTCACGAGCATTTAATGATTCTGAAAAGTAGCCACCCCATGACCTACGCTTGACATCTAAAGGTAAGCTAATAAGTTAACTGAGAGGTATTTGCTGCAGAGATATCAAATCAATCATTAAAAAGATCTCGACTAAGGTGATGCATTACTTCGACTACCTATATTTTATGGCCTCGATTTGGCCAAATAGGATGATAACATGGAGTGCTAGTCTAATTAGGCTTCCTAGTTGCTGTCACTTGACATATGCTTGGAGCCTCGTCAGATGAGGCATGACTATATCTTTCACAAAAATGGTTGCAATGATTTTGTGAAATGAAAACTTCCCAAAAAATAAAACAGTTTCCCACATTTGAACAAAATTTTAATTAAAACGATGATAGTGAAGTATTTCTCCTTAATTGGAGAAAGTCAGTATTTTTCATTTTTCAGTCCTCTTATTGCTTATTTGTGTAAATTTTCCAATTATTTGTATATTACTCTCACATCATATGGTGATTTCTTGGTGGCACCAATTGTTAGGAGACGGCAATAGCAATATGGGGATGGACGACGGGAAAGGGCAGGTCAGGGTTCGAAGCAAGAGGAAATTACGTGGGATACCTCATTTTATAAAGATATTCATATAATACATCTTAACATTTCTGTTATTATATTTACTACAATATTCCAGTATAAAGGAAATGTTAAAATAAGCAAAATCACCCATCTAATTTTAATCCACCCAAAATCACGCCTTCAAACAATTCTTGTAATTCTTACACCATAATTGATAACGGTGTTCTAAAAGACATAATGTGTGGCGATAAGTGGAGGTCAAGCTACAAGTTTAGGAGAAGCATAGGTATAAGAAAAGCGTAAAAAGACACTTTCTTATTTTAATATTATTTTAATCTCTTAAGTATGAAATAATCATATGAAATTTATATCATTTCTCATCGAACTACTAGGCCATGTGATTTTAATAAATTTTCAAATTTAACTATTTCAAATTTTAAGCAGCTTAACTACTTACTCGTATGTTTGATAAGGAATATTGAATAAAGTTTACCGTCACTAAATTAGCACAAACTCTGTACATACAATGACAAATTTGTAGGGGAAATGTCATCGTTTGTTTTTCATTATTTGTCCATTAAAATAAAAGAATATGACTATTATCAATCACATCAAGTCACTATATTTGACTTTCTATCTCTTGTGTTGAATCCATAATGACTGTATTTTTTATTCTCATTTTTACATTAATGTTACCAAACGGGGCCATACATAGAAAATCAAGATATATAAGGTCTGAAAAACGAAATGAAAACAGTGTACCATAAACCTAATAAAACTTTAGGACAATGCTACAAACACCAGAAATAATTAGAGATGTACTACTAACAGGAGATATTTCCTGCACACTGTACGCAGGAGATCAGTTCTGATACTACTAATATCTACTCAAACCAGAATCTTATGGACACATTCAAGGATATCGTTTCCATCCGTTGTCCTCCCGATTGTTTCTAAAAGCGCAGCATCCAACGGAGTAGACGATTATGAGAAAGACTAGGAATATGATGTTGATGACAGCCACTCTCTTCCAGTCTCTCTTGATGTTATCCAGCAACCCAGCCTTGCATGATTGGCAGCTATAGCACAAAGCATTAGGGTCATTGCTCCACTTAGCGCAGTCGGAATTTGTTGACGACGATTGAGAGGTCCTAGTCCAGTTGGTGGGGCTAACATACTGGAAGTTGCAGTCGTTTGATGGTTTACAGCAACCAGACTGAAGAAATGATACAAGAACAGTATTAGTAAGTTTGATAGAGAAGTTGGGTTTTCGAATACGAAAACGAAAGAAACTGGATGGCAAATCCAAGATCAGCTAACTAGCGAACATGATTAGAATATTATATTAGAGAGGGAATGGACGTACAAGAAAACAATTGCCACAGCTTATATAAAAGTTGGTGAAGCATCAGAAGTGTACTAACAGATATGTACACTGAAGTTCTGTTTGACATTAAGAGTGTTTGAGCCACATTATAATGAAAATGAGAATGATAAATAGAGTCGTTATGGCCCCACACTAGAGATAGAAATTTAAAAATGATAGTGATGGATAACGGTTATATTTTTTATTTTAATGAGTTAAAAATGTGGCTTAAACAGGGGCTAAGATTACATTTCTTTGTCGATTTCATATTCTTCATCGTTATTATTGTTGCTCAAATCACTAACACTTTGCTATAACTCACTCAGAGGTTTAAAGGAAAAGGATAATTCATAAAAGACAATGAATTGAAGAGAACATGTGAGGAACGTGTTAGGAAGAAATATCATAGGAAATAATAAATAAATAAAGTTTGTGAGTGGTGACCCAAACCTTTATGGTATAAGAATATGTCAAACAAAGAGATATTTATTCCTTATTCGCTCAAAAAGATATCAGATCCCCCATCAACTTTTAAAAACAATTAGATTTATTGCATATAATTAAGAGAAGGATCTTAAGTTTTCTTGTTTACAATGAATTTCCAAGAACCAAATAATGCAAAAATTATGTATGCTGCATTTACCTGAAGAGCAGAGAGGCGTTCCCTGTAAAAATCTTCAACTCTGGTGGAGGAGCCATCATCCAGCAACCTCTGGCAGATCTTACTGTCTTGCAAACAACTCCTAATCTTATTCCAATTCTTGTCACTGTTGACCCGTTTCTGCAGCCAGTTAGAGTAATCTCCAAGCCTGTATTCTTTGTAGCCTTTATCAGATAAGGACTCTCCGGCCCCTTTATTTGTAACCACAAAAGCAAAGATTGTGAAGCAAAATAGCAAGACAATCAACAAGAACATGACAAGGAGATAAACCCATAAAAGCCATGTAATTCTGCAGCATGATCCCACTAAACCTGCCAAAGAAACAAGCAGAATAAACACTCCCAAAGCGATTACGGGTTTGTCAAGAAACCGCTCGCACTCTGTGTTGGCTTGTTTTGAGAGCCATATGCCACCTCCTATGATGGGGATCGAGAGCAAAAGTGTTACGAAATTAAGAATGCCGACCAAATTGTTACTCACACGCACCATTGAGGAATTCAAGAATTTATCAGAATATCGAGTAAAAAGGCGGAGAATTCAAGAAAGTTAGACTTTTGTAATGATGGATATATGCATCGATGCGGTTGTATATATACAAATATGTGGGGGG